TTTCTAAAGCCATGGCTCCAGTTCCAATAAACAACCAAGACCAAGCGCTGTTTTCTATTTCTATTTCATGGAGTTATGTGCTGTCCTGTTGTATATCTTGGTACTTTTTTTTGATCTCTGTAGGCCTGCTTCGGCTTAACCATGCCCCACGCGAGAACGAGGATTTTTCCGTACAGCGCTGTGTCCTTTATATAGTCTTGTTTCTATTGCTCCCTTCTTACCGGCTATATGTTCAGGGTGAATTCATCCCAATGGAATTTTATGTGACTCGGGCTAACTTGCACATTGAAATTGAATCAGATCCATGAAACCGTCAATATAATCGTGCTTCTTCTGCACTCTTGTTCATTCAATCTCAAAACTTCTCACGACTGAGAACCCCTGCTTGGGCTACTGGATGGAATATAACACACCTTTAGTGGAAGATTCTTTTAACCGAGCATAATGTTAGTTATCGTTTTTCTGTACTCAGCTGAAGGAACAAGATACTTCCATCATACTCATTCGTAGTGCCTTGCTGCAACGGAGTATTCAACAGGGTATTAGGCCTTATCATGTACGTTCCTCACCACAGTGGGCTCTAGAAATCTTTGTCTATTTCCTTACCAGTGGTACAGTAAGAATACCCTCCCCCAGTATCAGCTTAATACTGGCCTAGAACACTCTGCTTGCCTCTAGTTTCATTGGGATGAGCCCTTGGCTGTATCATGGTCTACTCTGCCGCGCGAGACTAACCAGCCTTCGAAGTTACTTGAATCGGGATAGGTACGAGGTCTAGATAATTGAATGGACCTAAGCCCGGTTAATGAGAAATTGTCTCATGTAACCGCACAGTATCTATATGAAGTAGATCATTGTTTGTCTGCGTTGCCGCTTGATACATGCGTGCAACCATGTTGTAAGTGAGTGTTCCGTTGCGGGGGTTTTCTTTTTGGACTTATGTTACAAGAACAATATAGCTTACGTATTATCTAGACTACCAACCATCACTTAGGGCCTTTGAACCAATATGCTCGGCCGAGGCAGATACGACACTACAGGGGTGAAGAAGTCAGGTGCACCACCTCCGCCGCCATCGACTCGGAAGACAAATCGGATGACCGTGATGCTAGGTGATTGGACAACAATGGGGAAGGAGAGCTATTTCTGTTTGTGCCTGTAATTATTACCATCAACTTACATTGTGCTAAGAGTGAAGAAATTCAGACCGATTGGGCTTCCTTTGAGCTTCGGAAATTTATAAATTCGTGTGGCCCGATCTTCCAATATAAATTTCTGCATCCATTGATGATTATATTCTATCATATTCGTTGTACTTTTCTGTCTTCAGATTCCAATTGCTTTGTTTCTACTTAGTTTGGACCCTCTTACTTACAGCCATCTCAAATCTCCAAGTGAATATACCTTTCCTTGTTTCGAACCACTAAATAAAATAAAAAGGCTTGATTCTGACTGATATGCCCTCTTTATAGGATGTGCTCCTATGGTCGTGTTGAATACAGCTGCGGCTATCGGGAACCTAAGCCTCGTATCGTTAGGTGCGTCCCGGCTCTCAGTAATGAATGCCCCGGGACAACTCGAAAGGATATAATACATATGAGCTATAAATGTGGGAAGGAATACTGCACTAGTATGTACCTTGCTGGCCTAATAAGGTTAAGCTTACAAAATAAATAAGAGCAGAAGAATTCCTGTGCAAATTTATATGAGGTCACCGCGCTACCGGCGGAGTAGGGATTTACTATCAGGCTGTCGGCGAGTCAACCCGGTTTGGTCGCGGAGGCGGAAAATCTTAGCTACTCCAATATATAAAATTGGTTATATACCAGCCCTAGCCTAGCGTGTTCTTCGGAAATGACTAGGTACCCATAGAAAAGGAGGCTGATTCACTTAGATCAAGATCTCGCCAGCCTTGCGTGTTTTTATATCCATTGTGGCAAGCCTCGCGATGAAGTAGGCAAGATAGAAATAAGAACAGCTAGTTCTGCCAATTTGATAGAACAATTTTTTTGCTAACAGGCAATAAGATGTGTGAAGATATACAGTAGGTTTACTACAAGCAGCTTATTAGAATTTTACTGACAGACTCTCAGGGACCTTATCAAATCCATCCCAGGCCTAGTGCCTGAAATAGCTGAACATGTATCCTGTCAATTATCTGGGGGGACAAGCTACCAGCATACCTTTCGAATCCCTGGTCGTCAACTTTCCACAGCCTTTCTCGAGACTACCGATCCACGTTCCTCATCGGCACTGGAATACGACTTACCATATCAACATTGACCATCGTTTCTACAGTGGACTTTCTCAAACACTTATCACGTGATGCAGGACTTGCACCACACTGTCAGGGGTACAGATATCTCTGAGATTTCTGTTATGGGTGTTTTGGTAAAGCTTGCTGCACATGCTGTAACGCAACCACATCACGCATCGAGAGGATCTCAAGAGTTGTTACATTATGCTTAGCACGGCTAGTCATACCAAGAACATTCTTAACGGTCAGTACGGCAACTAAACAAATCTGCCACTATGGAGATAGACGACTGTCTGGTGCAAGCCACGAGGTGGCCTGTGGCTTAGTGCTCCCGCAGCAAGTCCAGGTAGCATTCTTTCTGCAGGACCTACGTCGTTTTCCTTGATGAGGTCCGCACAGTCTATCTGGTAGGCTTTCAGAGTGATCGATTGAGCCTACACAACATACTGTTTATTCTCATCGAAGCTTTTCCAACTCTAATAGAATAATGGTTAAGCAACCAGCCAGACCCGATACATTTCGAACTTTATTCACTTCTCGGACTGCTTTTTATGTTGTTGGGTCATTCCCAGAAAAGGAATTCGGACTCATTCTACTATGCCATTTGCCTTGCCGTGAATGATCTCGAAAGAACATTGGGCATAATCAGAAAGGAAATTAGCATGGCCATACTCTATGGCGAATTCAGTTGGGATGGAGCAACAAATGCCTCTATAACATTTGGCGCATACTTGGATGACTTACGGAAGCAACTGTCACGTTTGCAAAGCCACGCCGACTAAATGGATTAGTTAACTATATGGAAACGACTCATGAGATTCCCTGGAGGCAAGGAATTTTTCGTGTTCTTGTAGCGTATCTTCGAGATGTTCCTCTAAAGTATAGCACAGTTCTTCGTATACTTGACTGTTGCCGAGCGCAGTGCTTTCACACGCCAGAAAAGGCCCGTCAATTTGGCTAGAGTGGCAAGTGTCTCAGATAGGGTTGCGGACGCATATGAGCGGGAAGTATAGCGTCGCAGTCGCGCCGCGGTCATCCCTTGTGCAGTGGTAACGGGCTTCACTAGCTATTTTACCCAGAGTTCCAGACACACGCGAACAAGCAACGGCCAACATACATAAAGACTTTGCTTCCCTTCTTTTTTTCATCTCTTCAGAGTCTCATCTCAATGACAGCACGAATTCTTTTGTCAAGGAACTGAATCCAGTACCTGCACAGTCGGCCTAGTTAACTGTGTCATTGTTAGATGCCGGTATTCTCGCAAAACTTTGCTCCATATACTACTTGAGACCCTTGCAAGCACCATCATCCTCTGGTAAGGACTGACTATCTGTACAATATTACTTGCCAGAATGTTGGATTTGGACGAGGAGTATCATACGTAAGGCCACTACGTCTTATAGGGAAATGCTGTGACAATTGACGCCTATCCAGCATCATGCAATCAAAGATTAAAGAGTTCACCATTGGCAAGGACCGAAAGAGATTCCAAATCCACATGGCAGTAGCTTGCTTGTTTCCAGAGGAGATACTCCGGTCCCCTACCCACCTTGAAATGGATGAAATCGTCTTTGGCCGTTGCTGTGAGTTTGTATATTCGGGTGACTACTCCGTCCCATTGCCGAACTCCAGCCACTCGGGAAGCCCTGTCGATCAACCTGGCAACAGCAATGGCATATTTCAGGAAATCGAACTTCGATTGAATCCTACGAATCTGACAGAAAATATTTTCCATCCAACGAGAGCATCTCAACCTCACGCCCCCTACGTTGAGCGATGTGACCCAGTTCCCTGGTATGAAGCCGGAGTTCCTTTGAACACTGATCCTGCAGTCGATTATTCAGCGGTTTTTCTTAGCCACGCGGAAATTGTACGCTTCAGTTCCAGAACCAATTGGGCTTCGCTACATGATCGGTCCCTCTATTGGCTTGTACGTTCCCTCGCCCGCTTTCAGCTTTTTAAGGAGCGGACTCGAGATATTGTGGCATTGTTGAGGTTTGTATTCGAAGAAAGTGAATGCATAGAGGACGTACAAACGGTCCTACAGCATTATATAGTATGGAATGTAGAAATCCTTATGCGTGATGCGGACTTTCGACAACTGCTCGACAGAGTGCCAACCTTGGAGAAAGCCGTTTTTCGTTCTATGTGGAAGTAAGGGCTTGGTTTATATGTTAGATTTAGATGCGCATCTATTGTGCCTGTACTGTATGTGATCCAATGTTGTTTTAGGTTACATTTAGGTTATTTTTCAGGAGAGCACAACAAATATCAGGACATGGCATGGCACGATCGGCCCCTTTTGAGGCAGCCCCTCTACCGCTACTCTAGCAGCTTTTCTAGGCTGACGGCACGACCACATCACTTTGACGTACAATTAGGAGAATATACAGGCATGGGCTTCTCAAGGCCATGGCGTCAAGGCTTGTGATACTAGCGCCGCAGCAGTCCTTCCCTGCAGGAGATTGTAAGGTCCAGTGGCTCAGTACCGATTTGGGAACTCACGAGCAGGTGCGGGAGCTTTGCCGGACCGCAGCGGAAGAAATCGAGTAACCCCTCAGGGCCACTGCGGGATGTGCGCAGTGATGACCCACCGTGTTAGGTCAGAAGGCCAATCAACATTTACTTCCGGTACTTGGCAGGGACGACTGCGGTTCAGCTAGAAGTCGCTTCGTAATCAGTAAACATTACGAGGCCCGCAAGCAGGAGACCCACTTGTCAGCACCACTGTTATATGAGTTATGAACAAGGTAGACGTTCTTGCTGGAGGTGTTCTTTGTCTAGTCTCAAAGACAGATGCAGCAGCCACCTCCCATGCTGCAGGCTCCTATATGCAATATTCTTTGATCATACTGGCTATAGATCAAGCCTTCCAGAAGGCCTGCGTTTCGAAGAGGTGTTTCCCATTACTCTATGCTTCTTATTTGTATTGAGATTTCAGGACAATCCTCACGTGGCTATTCTCCTCACAAGAGGATTATCATGAGAGCCATTCCATCCTGGCAGACTCCTTCTGGTCTGATACTTCCATGTCCCAAAATAACTTATGATCTTTCGCATATTAACTTATTTCCGGAAGATTCTACTTGAGTATCACTACATGAAAAAAATCCATATATGTCGTAGGGCAACACAAAAGGCTTTTCTTATACTGCTAGCCGCTCGGAGACGTCATTCTCGAACCAGTTTTGCTCATATGTATATAAGAGTCTTAGATAGAACTACATATGTGTATAACAGTCCTGAGAATGCTCTCACAATTTCCCGAGCGACATGGAACGGTGACGTTTGGTGGGGGACATCGGTTCGGGTTCGGCCCGATCCAGCACTCGAGAGACCAACGATAGAAGCTGCTTGTCCTTGGTGAGTCGGCCTTCGGCCGCAAGCCTCTGCTCTTCATGCTCAGAGATCAGGAATATGGCATTATTGCCGTCGACAGTGGCTGCGCGATAACACTGGGCGGGGCTGAGGCTTTGTAGATTCCGATCATACAGCGAATAGTTCTTCGATGAATACTTCCTTGCAATTCGTTCCACCGGCGACGGATCGGAAGGATCCACTCGGAGGCGGTCGGACCGCTTCCACTCCTCTCGTTCAAACCGCCAGAAGCAAACCTCAACAAAAGCTGGTGGTTGTGGTGCCTCCACCGGGGCTGGAGGCCCAGCATCATCTGCGGGAGGACCCTGACCAAGGGGGTGGCTGGCATCATCATGGGTAGTAGGTGCTACATGTTCGAGATTCTCCACTGGGGGCTCCGGCTGTTCTTCATGGTGAGAAGCTGGCGATGGGTCTTGAGAAGGTTCTGGAACAGCAGCCTGTGCTACATCCGGGTTCCTATTATGCGTCACATGCGCCGGTTAGTCGTCAGGGGGCGTCGACGGTGAATTCTGCCTTTCTGGAGGTCTAGCTGACGGTTCCAGAACTGGCTGCTCCTGGTGAGAAAGACCAAGCTCTTCCTCGAGTCGCTCACGTTCTAACTCCTCCTCCAGCCTTCCCTGTTCTTCCTGGGCCCTCATCAGTTGGTCAAGGTATTCAACCAAGACCGGTTGTTGCCCAGCAGGGCCGCCAATACTCGAAGAATTGCCGTCCTCAATTTCCGTAGACTGTGGCTGTGATGGATGATCAATACGCGCCTGATCTTCAAGACCATCGTCCTGAGGTGGATCTTCTACTGTTGATCTGTTGTCTGAGTCCTGCTCAAGCGGGGTTGCCTCAAGTGAAATTCTCATGCAATGGCTATGGGCATCTGCTTCTTCCAGGGCGGCAGGGCCATGTGTGGGGTGCGGCGTGAGGGCGGTCGCTGGATCGGACTGCGTTGATTTGTCTTGTGGGCCTTCGTCAGGGAGTTTCTGGGATGACAGTCGGACATATCCTGATCCGAGGGCTCCATGCTCAGATACTCCAACTCCATGGGGTCGTACTCCTCGGACTCGTCGTTCCCTTCTCCCGTTGGACGCAACTGACGCCTGCGCATCTGAGCCTTCCGCGTCCGTCGTCGGTTTACAATATCCCGTTTTCTTTCAGCTCTCGGTACCTGCTGGCGGCGCAGAGAACATTGCTCCTCATCCCGTCGGGCCGCTTGCCCCTGTGGCTGTTCTTGTTCTTGTTGAGGTGACTCCCTTGGTAAAGCCGCTTGCAGAGCGGATCCATGGTCGCCAGATGGACCATCTTCTCCGACGAACAACGGCGACCGGGGAATATCCCCGGGAGACTCTCCGGCCCGGTCGCTGACAGTGGGCTCAGGTCGTGCAGATCTTCCGAAGAAGGAAATAGACACAGCGGCGGACATAAAAGCTAGTGATCGTGTCAATGACCCCAACGTCGTCGGCGTGCAAACGGTCCAGGAAGAGCAAAGGGCTATCTTGCTTGTGGGTTCGTTTTCGTGGCATCCCGCAGCGAGCCCGGGGTTTCATGGTGCTGTCTGCAAGAAGATCATGTCCTATATCAGGTTCGTAGGGCGCCGCCATTGCGAAGCACTCGGCAATTCGGTTCACCAGGATATCGAACTGTCTGGTGTCGTATCGGAACCGATTAGGTTTCCTGGCCTGCAGCAGAGCCGCCCGTGCAATCTGATGGTCGGGGGAGCCATCTACCAAAACATCGATTTCTGGAGACTTGAATCCGAGCCGGCGAGCAAGTCCGGCCATCTCGTAGATCGCTCTTTCATCGGCTTTGGCACGCACTGGCTTAGCTAGCAGGTCATCATCATTCTTTGCGTCCGGAGCCATCAACGGATTATGTCGCATTGCATATAGCCACACCTGTAGGTATCCCATGTCGAGCCGCTCCACGTCGGTTGCACGCTGACGCCGGAAAGTAGACTCGGAAGTCTGTATCTTACGCTCTCCTATATCTCCATCTAGGTAGGGAACAAACATCGACGCCATGGTTCTCCAAACAAATTCATCAGATGGTCCAAAAAGGCGCTTTACACAATGCGGGCAACTTTCCAAATACTTGAAATCCTCAAAAAAAGTGTACAGGGAAGGAATCAGCCCGTCAGAGTCTTTCATTCGCCTCCATATTATCCTCCGCCCTTCCTCGCTAAATTCCGCAAATGCCTGGCCACTAAGGATCAACACACAGGCCATTTTCGCATCAGTCCGGAATTTCTTCGGTGCCAGTAATTGCAAGGCGTCAACAGTATCCGTATCAATTTTCTTCATCGAAATAGGATCGGAGTCGACTAAGGAGGACCAAAAATTCCGACATGATTGAGATAGTTTACGATCTCGTACAGAGTAAATTAGAAATTGATGAGCAAGATGGAAAATGGGATCAAGAACCTACTTCAACACAGCCTGTGGCGATCAATCGGTGGAGCATGCTAATCCTCATCCCATGTGGCCAAAGCCCAGGTATTGGCAGTAACAGATTGAAGGCTCGCCGAAGACGACGGTTTCTCCTCTTGTCTAATTGAGCCAAGCGGTCTTGGTTGCTGGATGACAGTCGGACAAGCCACCGCTCTCGGAAAGCTTCATTATCCTCGCCCTCGTACTGCCGGATCTTACGATATATTTCACCATCGGTCGGTTTCTTCTGATTTGCATATTCATCTACCAGAGAGGTCTTTAGTTCTTCACCAATGTCAAAAGTGTTGTCAGTCTTTACACGACGAAGCAATCAATCATACATGACCCACTGTGTTCGTATAGCCCCACGGGAAAGCAATTCTGACCGGAATTTTTAGCACGGATTGAGTTATGGGCTGTCCGGTCGTCGGAGGCGGACCAAGCAGACGATTTGGCCTCCGTTGCGCGAGTAATGATGCAGCTCATGCAGAAATATGTTAAGGATGACGGAGCAGTTGGGATTGACAACCTCGATCGTTGGCGCAACTTTTCCAGCTGCTATTGAATTCCTCTCAGCGACGACATCAGCCGGCTCATTGGGAGTTCTCGAAAGGGTTAGTTGTATCCTCGTCACATTTGAAAGATGCTCATTTATTTTTAGCAATGTCTCCTGACGGAAGTCCGTTGGTCTCGTAGTGACCTCATTGCATGGTTTGCTCTAATATCTGCACGTACATTCTATTCGTACGCACCTTAGTCAGATGCAGAGAAGTAGACTACAATTGTGACTAGATGAGCTGCTGTACACTAAAGACTGTTGATGCTTTCAATGGAGAACCATACAGATGCTCTTCCGATTTAGTTACAGCACACTAATCGACCCTTCCTTTCGGTTCAATATATCTTGCATTCAATACGGATTGGAATAGCATATTACCAACAAAAAGACCCTAGGTAGATCGTTCATCCATTGTGCTACAGTGCTATAAATAAACAAGGCGAGCCGCCCGGGCTAGCAAATTATATCAAATCCATGACAATAGTTAAAACTCACGAATAAGACAGATAATGTCATGCAATTTATAAATACAAAGGACTACTCTCAGGCTGAAGAGCAGACTCTTGACGCTACCCCAAATCCCAGGTTTCGCTCTTCAAGTAGGTGATAAGAAAAATAGACTAGAACTATAGGTTACAGCACGTTAGTGAGGAATTTCGCCATATTCTCCATCGCAATATGTTTGGCATCGACATTTGTCCAAGGGTTCTCAGTCCGCTGGCGCGCTATCGCTGCCGCATTCTCGGCTTGGGTATGTGCCATCCTCCGTCTCCCGAATATGCCAATCTCATCGTTCAGGATGGCCTGACGGAGACCTTCTGTGACCTGTCCAAACATCAGAGATTTGACCACAGGCTCCAACTCATGGAAGGTGCAAATAGTGCCTGAGTGAGTGTTCAAGACTAAAGTGACGAGGGCATTGATTTTATCCTCATTGAACGAAGCATCTTTGCTGGAAACGTGAGTAAATTGGCTACTGTATGAGTCAGTAAATTTACATGGGTTTCATTAGCTCACCCCCGACTAACAGGATACCAACTCCCAGTGTCCCTGCAAGTATCCACCACAACCTACCGCATTTCGCATAACTGGCTGAAATCTGATCACGACGAGATTTCTCTGATTTTGATTTGCAAGGATCATCGTGATACGCTTGCAGGGTGCAGGTAATGACGTGGGAACTGGGACGCTTCTTTTTAAGAGCAGGCCAGTATCTGTCATGGTTCGTACAGGGCTCTTCGTAGTTGATGTACAGCAAGACCATTGCAATACGCTTTGCGTCAGGATCAAGGAAAGTATTTTTTTCATCCGCGTCGAGGTCTCTAAGGTAGTTGACCATTCCTTGTATACCTTTCCAAGCGACGGGAAGTCCAAGGGCGTGCAGGCCGAGCGACATATTGTTGTCCCACCCATCCAAAAGAGACCGTAGCAGCTCGCGAGATGTCTTTGAGAAAAAAGACACTTCCGCTTCAAGAATCACCTGAATATGCGCTTCGGATAATATTCCCCGCCGCAAGATTGTAGTGAGAGAATTGCCGGGTTGGGCTCTATAGAAGTTTTCCTTGTATTGGGTTGCTTCCGCCTTACGGGTCTAACATCTGCGAGTTTCCCCCCAGGTGAGGAGCCAGAACCCATAGTAGAGGGTGTCGAATAGCAGGGAGTCGTCCCATTCATTACAGGTGTGGAAATGGTCTCTGTGGGTGACGAGATTCCAAAGCCTGGACAGGAAGTGAGAAGAGTTGTATCTGGCGGGGTATAAAGAGCGCTTTCGGGTATTATTCCCACATCCCACAGTTGCTTTGCTTCGCCGTTTAGGAAATGACTGTTATCGTGTGTATCATTCATCCATGAATTGACGACGTCGGCTAGAAGAGGATCTGCAGAGATTGACGACTTGGGCTTGCTAATTGGTAGGCACGGGGCCGACGGAGGGGATAGAATAGGCTGAGCGGCGGCAATAGTACAATTCACTTCGGAAGAAGAAATAGTTAGTATGATAGGAAGTGACAGTAAGAAGGGTGAGATGGATACGCTCTTACCTGGGGACACTGATGGCTCCTGGCCGGCAATTCAAAACAATCCACAAAGCCAGCTTTTTCAAGTCCGTACCCGACACTGGCTACCTGGAAAATATTCAGCTGCCCAAGCTGCTCCAGGTCGGACCCAAGATCTCGAACAAGCTACAAGGGTAAAAAAAAGCCCCCAGAATGATTCTCAGTGGACCTACCTTTCTAGACTGCTTTTCTTCCAGAATAAGGGGCATCGCTCCGGGGCCTTGTTCCTACAGCATGAGTATTAGTCGCTGCAGGTCTTTCAAAAGAGCAAACCCACATCGAGGCCGACCGTGACATTTAACATGTTCATGCAACTAGTCCGGTACGTGGGGGAAATGATCTCCTGTTCGGTGCTCAGAATGTGGTATCGGATAAATTCACCTTGTTGAGCCCGCATCAAGACATCCGATTTCTGCAAATCATTAAGTCGTCCGATCTGCTCCAACAATCTACTAAGATGGTTGACCAGCTGCACTAAATTGAGCATCATACAGAGGCCTTTGGGAGACTATTCACATCGGAACACGCATCCTCGGTCCAATCTGGATTACCATTTTGATTGTTCTTTCGGTGATGAGTTAGTGAGAATGGCTCAAATGGGTCTCATTTACCTGAATGCCGATGGTTAATATGTACATGTTCGTAGGACCAGCCCGCCAGGTCAGTTAAAAAGAATGATTAAGGGAGTGGACGTAGCAGCCAGAAGTGGTACGAATCTACTGAACGAAAGGACGCCGTTTGGCAGGTAGCGATGGGCATGCGAGTGAAACTAGATCAATGGAGCATGATGGAAAGTGAAAGAAGCTGGCCTTTTATGTTCGGGGCAGTTGATCAGACACTCAGGGTGAGCAAAGGGTGAGCAGAACGTGAGCTCCTACGAGCACATCGAAGAGCCACGGTCAAAATGCTGACATCGTGGCTGACAATGAAACTGCCCCACTCACCTTAGTGGCCCTCCCCCCGACGCCTCTCCACGAATATGTCGCGCGTGCTGCTGACCAACAGGAAAGGAGAAGGGAATGGGGCAGGTGAGAAGAGGAAGGGAAAATTTCTGTCTCAGCAGGAGAGCAAGGTTACATTTCTCACCGCCTAAATACAGCTAGTCCAGAATACGTCGCCATCCCCATTGCCCCATCACCTCCGGTATTTTATCTCCTGCATACGCGTCATATTTTACAAAACGCTTCAAACCACCCCTATCCGTTCCCAATTAACCATCGTTAGGCTGGTATTCCAGTTCTGAAAGATGTACACCCTGATGGAAGTATTCTCGTACAATCTCTCGTATGTGGTCTCGAATATCGTCTCCTGCAGAGACTGACCTCCCTTGTTAGTCTTGCTGTGAACGAAGTCAATCGGGCTGCTTACCCACAACCAGCGTCCGACCTCTCTCTTCCCGGATGTTTGGCAGCCTTTCAATCTGATCCCCAGATGCCTCGAGTGAAACAATACTTTCGTAATTGGGTGTACCCTGGTAGAGACAAAATGTTTCGTGCTCCCCAAACGGGACTTTGTTATGTGCAAGGCCATTTCTCACGTATATGGATACATTGAGAATCTACAACCGTATCAGGTCAGCTTCAAACGGAACATCTTCGGTTTTGGGACCCGTTACATACATAACCATCGTCTATAATATCGTCATCGAGGAGATCATTAAGCAGGCCTTGGGCCGCACTTGTCATGTCTGGCTCATTAGCTGGGTGTTCGCAGGAATAACTGCATAGCGTACTCACCAATCGATTCTACTTGCCATACTAAGTGCAGCCGGCGTATTTGTGAAGTACAAGTGTTATAACCGTAGATCATCTTACCGCGGCAATCCCAAATCCGCTGGCGATCAACAAGGCATTTTCATATTTGCTGACATCCTCAGTTGTTCCGTGAGGACCCGTGGATAGGGCCATATAAGAAACAGAGGTTTCTGTGGCCACTGAAGCGTGACGAATAAGATCCGCGGATAAACCACGGCGTGGTTGTACAAGAAGCTCCATAGCATCCTGCCTATGTCGGGCCCATGATGTGACTGTGAACGGATGTGTCTGCGTCCACGCCCATAAACCCACTCATGGTATCCAGAGGTTGATATACTGCCCGGCCTCGACCTGCACCGGTCGAGGTAATAGGTCACGGATCTGGGAAGCTGTTACTACGAGCTTGTTCTCCTTCGTTTTCTTGAAAGTAAATGATACGAGCGCCCTGGGAGCACCCCGGCCCGCAAACAATCCGTTTCGATATAACAGGATCACTAGCTGCAAGCATGTGGTTAGCCCTAAGATCCCCAACGCAACCCAGAGAGAGAGCTTCGAGGAGGCGTTTTCGTTTGAAAGGTGCCGCAAGGTGCCATAGACAAAAGTTGCAGTCAAGATCTGATGCCCTGGCAGGAAACCTCGAAAGACCACCGACGCAACCACGCATTTGTACACAGAGCAAGGATACCCAGAGATGCAGCACCCTAGCCACTATTAGCTGGCGCGAATGGAAGAATTGGGAGGACGTACAATGAGGGTAAACATATTCCGCGATTGATCGAGTGGGAAGCTAAATTGTTGGTCTTGCACCATTGCAATTATATGAAATGACAACAGAATAATGGTCATCCGACCAGTAGCGCGGTGAATCCCACAGTAAGTGTTCCATTTGATGCCAAGAAGGTCAGCTAAGAAGCTCCGGTGGGTGGCTGATAAAGGGATAATTAGATTGATCAAGGCCAACTCTCCAGCCCGGCGGCCAGCGCTTGTTAGCGATGTTATTCGGAAGAGGATGAGGAAGACATTTGTTGCGGCATATATCACATGAAGTATAACACTGGCTCGTGACCAAGGGCCCCAACGTCGACTTCTATGAACAATATAAGGGATAGTCAAGTGTCGAGATACTAAAACAGAGAATAGATTTGTCCAATTCGCAAGAATGGAGATGATCGTGTAAGGAACAATCCCGCAAAAGTATCGCCAGCAGCAATTGCGTAGAAGGCCAATATATTCATTGTCTGTGCAAAGAGAATTAACAGAACAAGAAGGATTACAAAAAGGACGAAGGGAAGTCTGCAGTCATGAGGGCTCTTATACTGTAACTTAGCAATAATAAAATATGATTCCCACTGCGGTGTGGGTCCCCGAAGCAGAGCACGCCTGCGGAACTATAGTTACAATTCAATTACGGCGCAGCGACCCCCAAAGTTTACGGGAAAGTACATAAAAAGGTCCAATATGTATTTCGAATAAAAAATCCTAGGAAATCTCACATCAAAGCCTGTAGTATGTCCAAGCAATCTTCTTGGGTGAAGAAACGTCGCGCTGAGACCGCTCGAGCAAAAGCACAACAACGGCAGAGGCGGAGGAAGACTCTGTTTTAGAAAGGCCGCGGAATTCTATCTTGAATGTGAGTCCGACGTATTTGTGGCTGTTCGAATTCGAAAAGCCGGGCAAATATATCTCCTCGACTCATCCTCGCCAAGCCAGTGGATGCTACTTTGTCCAACCTGGTAGAGTATACTCAATCTACTCTCTGAGAATAAAAGTTAATATAAGTAGGCATCATACTACCCTCCTCCTATCCAGGAGGTATTGGAGGATATTATGCCCCAGGTTGAGCCTTTGTCAGAGTCGGGAGATACACCAGCTTTTCCAGAAAGAAAAGGAAGGCATTAATTGGGTTTTTACTACTGGACCCGTTATTATTATTATTATTGAATAGTTCGTAATACATTTAAGTATAGACCATACCTCAGCATGTCGAATTCTGGCTGCGGTAGAAAATGGTTTCAGTACCTACACGCTGCGGAGACCGCAGCGCTTGGTCTCAGGTGTTTTGAGGGTTGGCTCCAGTGGCTCTCGCTTGTTTGCAGGGCGTCTTCACGTTTATTATTGGCTATGATACTTACTTCGACATGTTCATGAATCAATCAATTTCTAACAGGTCTGGTCTAAAAGTTTTGTTTGAATATTGAAATATGAAGAACTTAATAATGGATAATGGTGTGATAAGACCCTAATACGGACGTCTCCTTGTGCCTTCCCTGAGGTTGGACATTGCTTAGCCATTACTTAGTCAGCTAGTGATCTTTAGATAACTGGGGGCTGTACCGGCCACCCAATCAGACAAGAATCCGGCGTGGGCCGCGTAGTGGTAAAACACAACCTAGCCGCAGGATATCGAGCATTATGATCAGCCGGGGTGAGCTAGGAGGTGGAGACTTACATCCGGAATCTGCCCAGATCCACAGCCCCCGTAGTCACTTGCTGTACTGATACCCAAGTAGTATAGCTTATCATGCGTGATACATTGTTCTCTTGGCCAACCAATGCCCAGGGGTCCCAATGTCCTAGGATAGCCCCGATGTATCACCCGAGTGGCGGGAAACCCAGGGTATGATAACAGGGATTTCGAATTATCATGCAGTGGTCAATTCGATGGAAGTGGAGTTCATGATGCACTCGTTCCCATGAGTGATGATACGCCAAAGTGATACTTGCTTTTATACCAGCCGGATGCAGTATGCGTCCCTCTCACGAATTACTTGCTTCAATCAGATTTCTCTGGAACAAGGTTCGACCCTTAAGGTCTAAATATCCTTCTATTGACAACTGATACACATTGTGTCCACTTATTAAGCCGACATTCTTTATTGTCTTGATTCGACACTTGTGACCAGACGGACACGAGAGACAGGAATTGCTTTTGACAGCATCCGCTACAAATTGTCAGTGACATACTACCTGCAAACAAACATCATTGCGAGTTAGAATCACTGAATTTATGCTCAATGTATTCACATGTGTTAAATCGTAGAACCAGAAGAAGAAAGTATGAAAAATCGTTAGAAGATATTGCATCACTAACGTCGCCCGCTGTTCCTTTACCATTCATCCAATGGTGAAATTCAGGAGTAGAAGATAAGATTCGAGAAGATGGACATTAAGTTTTAGACAATACAAAGTCGTTTTCGCCTATGCAATTCTCCTCTATAAGGATGCTTCCCACGTGACTCTGTCCGCCTTTTCATCGGTTGGTAATTTAGTTCCGCGTAGTGAAAGTCAATGATCAGGGCCCGTCCCAGCTCAGCGTTCCATAGAATATTGGCTAGCCGGAGGTCCCGGTGCAGGACTCCCAGGGAAAGAATCTCCTTCTCAGATCTCGCAATCTCACGTATCCTCTTATCACGCTCAATCTCAGGTATAGGATCACCCCCCCAGGCCATGATGAGCATGTGGCAGATCTCGCCAGCTCCATGTACGAAGTAGGATTTAGCCAAGTCGATTGACCCCAGGAAAACAGGAACAGCAGACGCCTGTACTTGGTTGAGTACACGGTATACGACTTCCTCACGTTTGACTTCCTCCCACCGTCGGGAAGTCGTTCCTTTACCGACCATAGTATATCCATACGCTGTACAGGTGACTTTGAATGGGACTCCCGATGCGCCACAACCCCCCAGAGGTGTGCAGTCTCGGTCGATGTTTCCATCGAGTTGCTGCTTGAGTTGCTTGATCAGCATTTTAGCATTGATAGGGTGTTGGCTGCTGTTCCCTCCCTGTCGGTGGAGCATGACGTTTGGGCAGTTATCATCCAGCTGACCACCACGTTGCAGGCTACGTAGACATTTCTGGGTGCAAAACTGTGCGGTATGCTGCTGACCTTGTCCACTGCTTTGGATATATCGAGATCCCGCCGGACGTGTTTGTCGTTGAGCAGATGGAGACGAAGGAGATGATGGAACCTGACTAAAACCACGCTTTCTTCCTCCTGGAGCTTGATCTGCGTCAGAATCAGAATCATCACGTGGAGTCAGATGCGGCGACGCGCAGCTAACTCGAGACCGGGTGGGTATTCGGCGGGTGTCAGCAGGGGGTGGAGCAGGAGACGACGACGGTATATATTCCGATGTAGTAGGTTCGGAACTCGTATACTGCGATGCTGTGTATTCTGAGTCAGGCGGGTTTTGTTGCAATTCCGATCCCGGAATCTGGGAACGTGTATGATCGAAACTTGTCTTCCATTCTGGCAACTTCTTTGTAGCATTCCGCCACTCCTGGTCACGATATTGTGAGCGGAAACTCATGAGGCATAAGCACAATACCCGAGCAACAGCTGTTAGCGGCTGTTGTAGAGAACTCAGTTCATCATCCGCGGTAACTTCCATGTTGGGTTCACAGAGATGGTAGTATAAGGTGCCCGGATCATCATAAGGGACCCGTAGCAAAACAATTGCGAATCCATTAGTCAGATATGAGTACTCGAGCCCTTCCTGGAGCATGACATGATACTCCTGAGCCACAGCCGAGCCGGTTAGCCAGGCCGCATTATATCTCAGTTTCTCGGGCCCCTCCGTGGGAACGGAGTCTGGTCTGACTATCTCATTCCAGAACTGCATTGGTCGCAAACCCGCTCGGAGATTCTCAACAGATAGCTTATGGGGCGGCTTATACTCGGCGGTCATAATAATTGTACTTTTATCGCCATCGACGCGGTGGATGCAATACTGGTCTGGTCGAGAACGTCCGGAACTTGGTGGTTTATCCGTTTGGGACTGGTCAGTGTCAGCCGCATCGAGGGCATTAGCGTGGTTGTCAAAACGTATCCCATCGCCCAAATAAAATTCCTCTCGAGCAGCAGGTATCTTGCAGAGCTCTTCGATAACATCATGAACATAGTCCTCCACAGCAAATCGCTCATAACTCTCCAAATCTTGTTCACTGCTTATTGCCCTTTTGCCAAGTCGTCTACCTAAACGTTCCAGCTCGAGACGCGGTGAAAATAAACGTGCGGCAGACTTTTCTGATGGTGCCAAATAAGTGCAAATAGAGCGGTAGACTTTTTGCTGCTCGGCTACGCAGTTAGTCCAATGCAGAAGCTGCAGCGGACAACGTTTCCCAGTAGGCGCTGGTATCTTCCCTGTTGTAGAACGAGACGGACTTTCAGCTCGCAGAGATCGAGAAAAGTAGACGTGACCGAAACGAATAAGCTCAGTAAAGGTTGTTAGTCGTGTTTGTTCTCTTCCCTGGTCCCTTTCCTGCTCTGCTAGCCGTTGGCGTTCCTCTGCTTGTTTCCTGAACTCTGCTTCCTGCTGGCGTTCCTCCTCCGCCCGTTTCTTTTCTTCCTCAGCCTGTCTCTTTCCCTCCTCAGCCCTCAAAAAGAGCGCTTTGTAGTCTGGCGGGCTGCTGTTCATCTGGCTGATATCTTTATCGATAAGTATTGATTTCGATTTGACGCTCATCTAGGCGAGCATGCGGAGAAATCGCCGTACATATCAGCTGACTAAAAATCGGTGAAAGTATTTTCCGGGTGACGATCCGGGCGGCTCATGAGATGAGAACCTGGTGAGCGTCCAGTGTACAGGCTAATAGTAAGTACTACGGTGCGGGTCCCGGAAGCAGAGCACGCCCTGCGGGGATATAATTTTTGTCAACCATAGCGATCCTTAGTGCTTATGGGGAATCATTTAAAAGGACCCCAAAATCTCGAATAAGGCCCACCCGCTTCGGCTCACGCACGCGTCAGGCATCCCATGACCCCGAAACGCGTACTTTTTCACCGCAACAGCCATCGACCCGATTCCCACACATTTGTCTACAACCAAGTCCCAATTAATCACCTATTTAGACTGGCCACATGTAGAACATTCCGCGTGCAGAACTGCGCCTTCTAATTAGCAACGAGCTTCGGTGTCAGAATAGCCGAAGTAACTCGACCGCTCACCGGGTCACGTGATTTAGCCGACCAAGAGAAACGATAGCTTAGCTACCAAACAGTAGCTATGGCTACCGGTAGCTCCGGTAGCCACCAGAAGGATATAAGGACGCTTAATCTCGGTCATGTACTTTCATTTACTTCTATTTGTCCAAGCCTACTTGTCAGAATAGCGTCCCATAAGTACTCGAACAAGACCCATCGGTAAGCCTATCACTGCATATGTTCGCCAAGCATAGTCACGCCTTCGCAAGAAGTCAGTATCCAATTTACTACAATTCGAAATACGTTCTAGCACGCCGGGCTCATAAGAGGTCTTACGGGCGAGTGACTACCTAACTCAGCAGCAGGGTACCCACGTGACACAGTCGCTTGACGTTGAGAGGCTGGCTAAGCCCCACTCTTGTGGCTACTGGCTGCGGTAGCGACGGCTATGACTCAGTGGGCGGGCTGCCGACAGGTGATTTGGGCGAGAGCGCTCCAGGCAGCAGTCCGACTTTCAACGTTGGCATTTGTTGTCTCACACTCTCCACAATTCTTCAAGACAAATCTTTCCTCAACGAAAGCTGTAGACTACTTGTCATACGTCACGCCACTAGGCACATTTGACAATCAAGAAGGTTTGGCACTTGCGCTGTTCCGGTTTTTGCCTGAGAACAAATGTATCTAAGCCACGGTATCTGTCTACAGGCACTCTTCGAGTGGCTTAGGTCGGCTTTGACCTTGAACCAATCGACCCACCGCAGTCTTCTCCAACGGACACGGAATCATTAGCCGAGGAGATGTCAGACCAAGATCTCAAGCAGCAATTAGCTGATATTCAGAAGGACCATGAAGAGTGTATGGCTGACATTCGCGTATTTCGAGTCCATCAAAAGAGTTCAGCCAGCTCCTATGCTGAGCAATTTCTGGACATCTCCCGCCACCTCAAGTGGACTGACGCCGCATACATGGCTATCTTTGAAAATGGACTGAAATTCGATGTCAAGGATATTCTATGTGTAAACAAAAGGCCAGAAACTCTGTCTACTCTTATTGAGAGGGCGATCAAAATTGATAGCAGTTCAACGCTTGGGAAAGAACCGATCTGGCTCATTGCCGTGGGCCGGTCGGAGCTAAGGATCATGCTGCTTTCATAGCGTGCTCCTCATCCTAAAGTTTAGCAGAGAATCGAAGGTGACGACCCTTGTATGTCAACTATGTTGACTTAGGATTATTACACGTAAATCTAAAAGATGGAAAGGAGTATACACGTATAGATCTCTGATATTCGCAAGCGGATAACTTGACCATCCCAGATCGGTGGTCAGCACTGACAAGACTATTGAGTTTGCATTGAACCTCTCAGATTGGCACCCGAGGTCAAGAACTTTGTATCGCAGGATACTGATTTGCTGGCGTCTGACGGTCTAATGCATACAGTTATTTACGTGGAAGTGCGTCAATCTTACGTCTAATTGTAGTTTGGCTTGATGTGAGCATGTAATTAGGAGTTGGAAACAAACATCTATGTATTTTGACTGGGAAGCAGAAGGCGCATCCCACTGTAGAAGGAAAGCCTTACTAACCCACAGGGGCTCCAACGATATCGACAGCTAAGAGGACATATACTGAAAGGATCTACATATGGGCTCGAAGAATATACAGCAGATGTACGTTAAAACATGTATTGATAGATCAGTGATAGTTGCCTTTTCGGCTGAGCCGCCGGGCGTTAACGAATTTTGTGTGTACGGCTACCACCTTCAGAAGATGCCATTCGCGGAAGATATACACAATAGGGGGCTAGCGAATACTCACGTCGCCGTTGTTACCAACCAGTAGACTGCTGAACAATTGGGAATCTATTACAAGTCTGTGGCAGCGCTTCATGGTCCGGTAACTGCAGAAGTCCCAGAGTATAGAAGCTCGGCTGCCGAGTACTAGCCACATACTCCGTTAGACTGTCAGCTTTCTGAATGGCCATGAGCTAATGGACGGTGATGAGATTGCTCCTGCCTTTTCTTTTCTTGTACGGGCTTATACCGATCAAGATTGCTGCCTGCATGTAACATATTTATACGACTGTCATATACCAAGATAATAGATGTTTATTTGATTCATTCTCTTGCACTTATCACTTATATTGTGCTACTGCGCACTGTTCCTCGCAATCCTCCTCTTTCCTACCCCCTGCTAATAAAAGTACAAAAACAGACGATTTGCAACTCATAGTTTCTCTAACTGATGATCTCTTGTAAGAGTTTACCAATATATTCCCCAACATAGGGGCGGTCCTATCTTTACGTACCATGGTGATATAGACCATTATGATGTAACGGCAAGCGCAGGACCAAGAAGCAGGACTCATGTTGGAGTAAGATTCGAGGAGTACCATTCAACGTGACAGTCGTACTTGCTCTAGAGGCCGAAAAGCCTGGGATGGAAGCCATAACATGGAGACAATGGAGATCCAGTAAAAGAGTAGATGAAAAGTGGATGAAGTTACAGAAACAAGTAGGAAGTTCCAGAGATTCGATTTTATACGTTCGTTCGTTACTTTTTAAAAAGGTAGCTTTAGGCTTCGACCGGTCATTGCCATTAATTGTTGAAAATTGGCGAGATATATAAATCGAAGGCTCCTACCGTCTTTGGATGGGTGGCGGCTCTGGTTCGAAGGCGCCTGTGAATGGGAGATGAAAAACAGGCGGATCAAAGTTCTAAGTTTCTGGGTGTGAGTCTGATCCATTCTCAAACTCTAGTACGCTGCCATATCGTCGTAGAACCTTGCAAACTGATCCCGAAGTCCCGTAACTAGGCAAGACCAAACAGACTCTCTATGGGACTGAACTTTCCAGTATGCCTCAGATGTTACTGAGCGCCAAGCTTTCTGCGAGAGCGTCTTCTTTGCCCGTTCAGAACGGGCGTTTGCCTTTCTTTGTACTCGTTATGGATCTCCCTCAGAGAAATCGTAACAGGCGGCCTTCATAAGCTTATGCTTTCAAGAAATACTTCCTATTCTCAATTGTATATGTGCACAATTCTTCCAACGTATGGAAAATTTCCAAGTGACCGCCTGCCCGGCTCGACTGCAAGAAATAGACCAAATTGAGGTGAGTTTAGACCACAAGCTTTGTTTTTGTTGGCCCTGATTTAACATCATCCAACTGGATATGTCTAAGGGCAAACCTGTTGCGCGTTACGGCGTTCATTATGTATCGGGATTATATTAATGCAACGGCAAATTCTTTGCCATGATGCCAGAGTCTTCGCATCGGTCCCAACCGTCGAATTGTGGGCTTGGATCACCGCAAATCGAAACGACTGCCTGTCGCATTCTCGCGCAGCCTCCTTCGATGTCACCCAAAGTAGTCACACATATGGTAAAACTTTGCATGAATTGGCCCATCTTGGTTGTGGGCAAACCTTGGATACTTTGCAGAGAACGCATCGATTTCATCTATAAGTAGGTTGGCCTGATTGCTGTCAACTATCAACAAGAAACTTGATATGACCGACAAAGTCAGTAGATCAGTTCCGTCTATAGCTCATCAAAGGTATAAAAGCTACGAACACGGCGGCGATCATGCCTTTCTGGCAGGATTATGAGCAGATTTCGTTGTGCATTTGTCTTACTTTCAATTCCTTGTAAATTGGGCGAGTAACCAACCAAGGGAATCGAAGTATGTCGGCACTCACGCCGTTTCGAGAGGTTCGATAAGGGGTCGCAGTTACGAATGCATCTTTTTGCTTAGTAACACAGCTTGAGGTAACTAAGTGAGACCCAAATGAAGAGGGAGGGGTTATCTGCTAAAACTATTTTCCTGCGGTCATTGGTTGTCATCTCACTGTGGGCTTGGAATGTCAAGGGCCCTTGCTTGTCTACATGATTTTCAGAGGTCAAAGCAAGTTGTGCTTAACGCAAGGGATCCAGCACACGAAGCCGCAATTGCCGCTCCATCGCCTGCCCCATGTCGTCGTATGCAAAGTCCGTCCCAGGCAGGGGGATCGTCAAATGTATTCCTGACTTGGCGGTGAAAGATCCTTGTAGTACCTCTTGATGCGAACAACAATCTAGGTCCAGAGAATCGGCCGTAGATGGAGAAGTACGGATACGGCAATTACTCTACGTAAGAGAATGTATTCCACAGATAGCCATGTCCAATTGACAAATGCCTACCAACGTTATTCTTCCTGGCTGCTGCGGCGAACTGCCAGGGAGGTACTTGCCACAACATCAATCTGACGGAAAACCCTCTACCTAATATTACCTGCAGTTACAAGGACACACTCAAATGTGGTCGCATTCCTCACCTGCTTTCCTGAGTATACGTATAGCATATACATTTACGCACTCATTCCACGCGCCTTTCCGTTTGAGCGATTACTAGCCATCATCCTTCGCTCGCTGAGTAGAAAACTATAGGAAATATTCATTTTGTGCCCTCTCTTAATAACAGTATTGAGAGGTACACAACGATTTGGCTCATCATGTCTCAACTCTGTCCCTCTCCATAACGGAACTGTGTATATTATACAAGTCACTACCTCTGAACTGTTGACGGAGTCCTGTATAGGACCGGGGTAAGTGCTTTAAGACCTTTCGCGAGCTTGCTCAGCTTGCCTTAGAGGCCCCGATATTGTTACCCTCAGCAGCGTGCGGTTCCTTGCTAAGATACTTGTTCCCTGTTGTTTTCTACCATACCTTTTGTGGTACGTCTAACCGTTCTTGGGCCAGTCACGCCTGTAAAAGTTATAATACATTCATACACTCCTACAATAATACATTCGTACTCTCCTACATGAGAAACGTGGCAGCTACGTGGGTACCTTCAAGAATAAATTTGACCAAGTGAGTCGCTGCATGGCTGCCCAACGTAAGTGGCTAGACCGCTGTTCCAGCCCACGGGGATATCCCTTGCACAAACCTTTCAGATTAGCCAGGCTGGTAATGAAATTGAGCCTAATATATAGGGAGTCATCTCCTTCACGGGGTATCGAGCTTCTCATCTCTTCATATGTGGTAGAAGCTTCTCTCCGGCATTATTTGTGTTTGCCCTCACAATGACAACTGTATTTATCGGCCAGGCTGAGGATGGAAGCCACCCAGCCTGGCCACAGGATGAAGTTACGAGTTCGTTAGTCGGACGGGTGGGGTTCTCGCCAATCTATTCTGGGGCCGATTTATCTTCTTTTTCACTTGAGGGCTATTGCGACCCAATGGTGATAGGGGGTAGACAAGGAGAAATCCTGGCTCCTCCTTCTACGATAGTGACCGATACTGTGATCGGGAACAGCAGAGAACCTTCTTGGCCGGAGCAATACCTAGACCTCATCGCACCGAACAGCCTACTGTACCTGGAAGACTTCGCTCAAAACCAGTCACATTCTGCTAATCTCGTGGAAGCCTCGACTCTGACCACAGTGGGGTTGGACTCACAGGAACACTCTCTTCCAAACCAATCTCTATAGAGACGTGGCTTGGATGGATGCCTGAGTGATGAAGGTTACGAGAGGACCACCGCAGCTGTGGTTGTTGGAGGACGGGCCGATTCAGGAACATATGTTTCGAGGTTTCAGGAAGTGCCAATGCCTTCTTATGATCACGATATTTCACCAGAGGATGGGCTATATCACTGCCAAGATCGTGCATGCGTGGCCCAGACTGGCTTTTCAAGAAAATGTGATTTGCAGTAAGCTACGCCACCACTTTCTCAATTCATCCCGCTGACTCTTCACAGAAAGCATATGCGCAGTCACGTTAAGCCAGTTAAATGCCCCATATGTACGGTAACCAAGGCTCAGCAGGTTCATATGCGCCGACATATGGAAGTGCATCACGGTGGATGGGCTCGGCAATGGTGGCAAGTGGGAGTTGTGTGTGAATTATGCGGTAAATCATTCACAAGGAGAGACAATCTTCGGAGACACCACCGAAGTCAGCATGAAGATTTTAGTAGCCTCTGTATCTGATTAAAGTTTTTCGTCTGTGGGGCCTATGCTCTGTCGAGTTTATGAAGGTTCTTGAATGGTATTTTAGATCCCCTCCAAGCTAACGTCTGGTAAGAAGCAGAAGTACACTCGCCTCCATCTTGTAATTAAGGTTCTAATGAGAATCTACGATTACGTGTTTCAATGAGAGCAGAAAAGGTATGGAATTCCAAGAAGTCAGAAAAAGAAACCAAATTAACTTGCGAGTCAAAATCAGAATACCACTTTAGATCTTGAGAGATACCCCGCCACAGTCGGCATCAGGGTCTTCATCCGACACGTATGTCCTGAGCTTATTTGTCTCAAGAACCTTCGCCGTGCTACGTTCAGTTGCCTCCTTTTCCAAACTGACATCAGCAGATGAATATCGGAACGTATTTTCCCGAAGCTCCTCCGAATCTATGCGAGACCACCGGTCACTTGAAATTGCTGTCTGGGAATCAGGATGCCAGGGACTTGGTGACGACTGATCAAAGATTTGAGCAATCACAGCCCGCCGAAGCTCATTTGTCATCTCATTGAGGACCTTTACCTGCAAATCGTATTCTGGAATCCCCCTCGTGGGATTTTTGACTAATTGCGGGCTCCAATTAACCCAGACTTTGCGGTGAGATTCAGGGACGACCATTCGAGCCGGATGGTGCCTGAAGTACAGTTCACAACATAGACAGGCCGGCTTGCTACAAGCAATGTAACGGTCATTCCCCACGAAAGACAGGTTTTGCCTGAAGAAATGGTCCAGAACCTGCACTTCTGCATGCACCTGCGCCGTGCACTTGTCATACTGTACCAGGAAATCCTGAAAGGTGCGAGATTGAGACCGAAAATTCATGGAAAGCAAAAGATTCTTTATCTGAAGCTTTTCCGGGTCATCCTTCTTCAACATCCTGTTGAGGACACCGTCAAGCGTGGTGAGATTATCGGGCACTGGCCGAGGCACTGAAGGCACACAAGGAATAGCCACCACCTGATGCGAGTCAAGGATGTGAGACAAATGGCAGGCATCCTCAACCAGCTGCGACGGTGCCCGGATGTGATCTGCCAGTCGCCCTAGATAATGGATAACTAACGCAAAAGGCGACCTTTTGTCTCCAGGACCCATTAACCTTTCCTCGTCTTGAGCTTTTAGTCCGATTACCCTGGCGAATACGGACTTTATTTGGACATAGGCATAATGGCAGAGTGCCAGACAATCATCCTGTTCGAGAATGAGATCAAGCCAGTCTTTTATCAACTGATCTACTGAACCAGTTAGCTTGTCATATTGTAAGACTGCAATCTGGCCGTTACGAACCTTGTTCCGTTCTCACAGATCCCGGTATGCAATAACACTGTTTGATCGCTTGAAACAAGCACTGACGCTCTTTTTTCACCCGGCTAATCGCGAAGTTTAGACAGAAACTGGTAAAGTTTGCCTTATCTTGTCCTTCATCAAAGTCCCCAGTGATTCTTGTAGTTCGTTCCAGGTGGCCGAGAGCATTGTTCGCGAACTCGACGATTTTGTCGCTAGATGCGTTGGATGCAATCCAGAAGTTGTAACATGTTTCGCTGTCTTCAAGCCCAATGGCAGTGCAGGAACCACCTCCTTTGGTAAAGTCACAAATATAGGCGAGGTTACGTAGGAATTTACGTCGCCGTGCTTGCTCCAAACTATGATCCGGTGGGCCAACTGTGTGCTGCCCACGGGTCTGTCCTAGTACACGCAAAAGAAACAAAGGCTCGTAAAATCGACCAAGAAGTCTCTTATACGCGTCTAGTCTCGGGCGCCCCACGCGGACTGAGTCGATAGGCAATTGTTTGGAGGTGGCATTGTTCTGGACTTTCAATGAATGCTTTAAGGATGGCATCTTGGAAATGCAGGATGAGAAAAGTGCACGAAATGTAATCCACAGTCAGAGTGCGAGCTTATTGAGAAGGAAGAGTAATTTACGGGCATTTTGACGACTCATAATGTTTTTTTATACCGGATACATATTGTTAAATAATCAGTCACGGGGTGGGGGAGGAAGACCATATGCAGAAGGGATATAGGAGGAAGACAATGCAGGAGAAAGACGATGCAGGAGGAAGACGATGCAGGAGGAAGACGATGCAGGAGGAAGACGATGCGGGAGGAAGACAATGCAGGAGGAAGACGATGCAGGAGGAAGACGATGCGGGAGGAAGACAATGCAGGAGGAAGACAATGCAGGAGGAAGACGATGCGGGAGGAAGACAATGCAGGAGGAAGACGATGCAGGAGGAAGACGATGCAGGAGGAAGACGATGCGGGAGGAAGACAATGCAGGAGGAAGACAATGCAGGAGGAAGACAATGCAGGAGGAAGACAATGCAGGAGGAAGCTCAAACACACTTGTCGTATTGAGATTGGGTAGCCAAGACTTTTCGCCGTAAAATGGGGGAGGCAACGTACGTGAGCAAAGGCTAAGATATCAAAGCCTATACTTGCGAAGCATACGACTCTGGTCAATAGACTGTGAGGGATACAGTCGTCTCTCGTTCAAGGCAGGGGCAGATCAACCACATGGATAGAGGCACACGCCGTGGATTCTGCAAATTATACGAGGCAGCCTACCACTCCATATTGGAAACGCTGAAAATGACTCCTATGTCTGTATTGGCTTCTGGAATGGATAAAAGGCACTAGACTGCCCGTACATTCGGTCTACAGTACTCATTCAAGCAGCCTTTTACTTGCAAAAGTTCCTTGAATCGTCCTTCAATACTACACACCGTCGAGAATGTCCGGTTTGTCCGCTGCACCCCGTCTATCAACCAGAGACACTATATATCTGCTTCATCACGTCTTCCTGCCCCCCCAACTGCCACAGGAAGATGATTATAACGCTACACATGAAAGTGCTCTGCTCGATAGCGTTATTGATGCCCTTGCTCTGTTTCAGGATTTTAGTCATGGGCAGGAGAGTGAAGTTGTTGACAGTGTCAAAGCAACGCTCACTCGTTTGAGAGCGACGCGCGATTCTCATGGGGACGTGAATCACGTCGAGCTTCGAAAGGCTTTAGAAAATTTGGACAATGCAGGTATGGCCAGCTATAGCCTAGCTGAAATCCGGAATGTCACTGACACGTGTTGTGTAGGAGGTGCTCTACCCGTGCATGTTCGTTGCCAGAATGCTGCGGTTTTAATGACCAGGCACAGCGATTCAATACATGTCGAGACGTTTGAACTATCGCCTCGGAACGAAGCCGTCAACACCACAGTGGGTCGACTACAACGCCAATTTCCTGGGCCAACTTTTGCTTTGGATCGAGCCATCTTCAACGAGCCAAATATGCAAACTACCATTGCGCACGCCCTCGAGAGCATGAGCCGCCAGCCTGCCCCGGGGACCAAGCCAAAAGTGAAGAAGGCGCAGCAGGAGCACGACGAGAATCGGGATACAACCGATCCGATGCTGGTTACAGAGTTGTTCACGACATTCCTGCGCCCACAATGCAGAACTGTGAACAGCTTGCAGGTCTGTAAGAACACAAGGGAAGAAGTCCTGTGGCTCAACAGTCTGCAACCTTGGAGACGGTCCGCCCTCTGGCTCCAGATTCGAGTTACGATCCAATTGGTAATGCGGAGGCTCTGCCAGCGCAAAGAAATCTCAGCTGACCTGTATAAAGAATTCATGATATTTTACATGAGTTCCATTCTCCGCCGCTGTCCCAGGGACATAAGCAGTGAGCACCGGTATATCATGAGTTCCAAAATCGTGCGCCGGTTACGAAAGGTTGATTTGGCGGATGATCATGCTTGGCTTCCGTTTGTCCAGTGTTCCCTTCAACAAGCGAAAGACGTCCTCGAAGAAAGATGGAGCAGCATCATCGCCCGTAACGCCTGCCGACCTGACATGTCTTCCTTGGCCCGACTCAACTTTAAGGATGACACGAATTGCTCACTGCCCATTCTTGATGAGTGGCTGCAGAGCATCAGAACCCGCCAAGACGCCTCAGTGCCGCCAGATGCCCACCCACAGTCTGGATTTTTAGAATTTGAGCCTGCAGAGCTCCCATCGCTCTTCCGATTGACGGACCCCGACTATCACGTCTACAATCTTGCTGCTTTCGAAGCGTGGGTTGAATTGAATCTTCAATCCTGGACTGAGACACATATTGGCTATGAAGACACCTGCGAACGGCTAAGCAGATTAGTCAATGCCTATTATAGTATTGCATCCAAATCGTACGCCTCTAATCCCGAGGCATTGTCAGCCATGCTTCTCACCATTCTGGAGCTCTGGATAGCTTGCGACAAATCCGCCGTCCATATTCATCCGCTGCTTCGCCAGTATAAGACTTGTATTCCGATCCATCTATTCCAGTCTCTCCTGCTACCTCGGCAACCCCAGCTTACCAGGTTGGCACACGCGGAAAGCTACATGCGTCAACGTCACCAGGGCGTCCAGTACAGAGATTCCAAAATCCTAACCGACTTTGGAACCCCTTCCTCCTTTTCCGTGCGCTACTTCAAGCAGTCCGCTGAACACCAACGTTTACTTGCCACCATTGAACAAAGAGCGGAGTCCGAGAAGGCTGCCAAGGTCGTGGAGCTGCACCGAAAGCATCAGCAGTACAGGGACTTATGTGCTCGGCGTGATGAGATTGAATGCACTTACTACGATGAGATAGTGGATAACCGGTTCCGCTTTACAGAGCGTCGTCATAGCCACTCGTGCCAGAGATGCCGGCTGGACCGCGCTGCGAAAGAGATCACAATTGGTGTTTATGAATGGCCTTTGTCTTCCAATCCCTTGGAAGCAGAATCCACGGTCTTCGAGTTGAAACTGCCCCGACCATTTGCATACTGGCGTGATCTCACTGCCTTCATTTTGCTTGATGTTTTGGGAATCATGTATGCTTCGAAAGAAACGCCTAGAGCTGAGTACCGACTAGGCAGCTACAGTGGCCTCTCCATGTTCTTTACCGCTGTCGTTGATTCCCCAAGGATTAGCCTTCTTTCCCAAGTTAAACCCCACCAAGCAACTCACAGGCGAAAGAACCACATTATCAATGTATCAGAGAGAGACGTTTGTCTTGCGAACGGTTTGCAATTCAAATACTTCGACAATGCCCGCCGCTGCTTCACTCACAACCTGGTCCAAACACATGCGATAGCAACGGCATGCACGTACAAGTTACCGCTATCCAGCTCATCTCTGCAGCCGTTTCTCTTCCGCCCAGCAGAGACACCTGACGGCCCGTCACCCAATACGGTCATTGCATCGCAACATACCTGCCCCGAGGACATGTCACTGGGGGAGTATAAGGCGCTCTGCTCGATGCCATTGGGCCTCCATATCCAGTGGCAGAACATCCTTCGGCAGCTCGCTGCACCCTCCGTGGTATTCAATAAGGTCGAAACGTGCCTTTTTACCCTGCAGATCATGCACCAGGCAGGGCCGCCATCACTCATGAATCCGATCCTGCGCGAAGGCCATCATGTTCTGAACGATGATTCGTTTGCAGCGCCTTTACTGCGAGAGATCCAGAAGACAGCGGCGGCAATCGAACAAAACTGGCAATCCGCAGAGGAGCTGAGTGTGTTGATCGCTCTCACCCAGAAAGTGTTGACCTGCTCCCCATCGGTCCACATTCAGAACGAATGCATAGAGCAGCTGGATGGCCTCCGGAAGATTTCATTCAACTGGGTGATGACTATTGGGGAGAAGGCCAGTGCTACGGGCAGCAATGATCACAGGAACAATCTGATTGCCTCCGCCGGTTATCTCGCGTTGATGTGCGTCGGCACGTTTGATTGCGAGAACAGCCACTTGAAGCGAATGCTCCGGAACGATATGGATGCCTCCATTTTAATCCATTGTAGTATGATCATTCATGACCGAAAAGGCCTTCTGAATAGGGTATCCAGCTGTTTACTGCCAATTCTCTACTATCGATGGCAGAACATAGCTTTTCGGGGACACCGCATTCTGGCACACAACATTGTCCATGGCCGCACGACCGCTCTCGACCGAGCGATCCAGCGGACTTGGGCCGCGTACCGACCGGGATCTCCTTGGACAGCAGCCTCGAGTGGCACTCAATGTTGCCTGCACGCCCAGATGAAGGGTGAATTCAGTGGTACCAGCGGCGTCGTGGTGTACGTTAACCTTCTCACGGGTCAGCTGCTCATCAATGGTCGTCCCCTGGCGCGGTTGCCCTCGGAGTTCGAGCGCCATAAAACATATCAATCCCTGTTTGGGCATTCCTTGGTGGAAGTGAGGCCTAGCGATTTTTCCGGCTTGGAATACTCCGCCCAGAGACTGCATATGGGCCAGACGATCTACCTGGGAAAACAGACCGTCCCCGAGCAGAGTGAATTCGATCTACGCATTCGAGCCGTGGATGGGAGTAGAGTCTGGGAATTCGTATCCCCGAGGCTTCTCGCGGCTGCTTTACCGGATGCCTTCGTGGAGGGATACGCCCATTGGTACGAGACCAATTGCGAGTATATCGAGTTTCGTCCTGTTAATGACCCATGGAAGCCATCACCGGCCTCTCACTGGCGATTGCAGCGCACCCGGCTGGGAAATAGCTGGCAGCTCACTCAGGGGAATGTTTCGTTGATTAGTAGGGGGAGCGAGACAGCGAGAGTCTTGTTTGATGTCTTTCAACCCATCGAAAAGGCCTCCAAGCTGCACTGCAAACTCCACCACGAATCTGACATGCTCGAGATCGAGATTCCCCGCCTGCGGCTGGGCTTTAATCTGCGATCGGGTCAACCGTCAATTGAGTCTCGCCAGTACCGCGGAATGGTCGTCGATCCTGATCAGTCGGTGGGCACTCTGATCGGCCTGCGGAACAAGCTCGTTTTGCTGGACCGAAAAACTCATCATCGGAGGGTTTTGATCCCGGAAGGTCAGATAAAATGGGAGCAAGACGGTGGCCACGTCACCGTCAAGGTTGGTTGGCAGGCAGCAACCAGCGTGCATGTGTATCTCGTGAACGGTGACATCGGCTGCTTGACGGACAATGGGACTCTGCAGAGTAAACTGGTACTGTGCTATCTGCATGCAGTCACGTCATTCTGCATCCCTGACCCCTTGACCAAGCACACAGGGACCGAACAGTCTCTGTCTATCCTTCGCTCAGCATCGATGCGGTCTTTTAATCAACTACAGCCGGACAATATCTCGATTCTAGAAAAGCTTGCGCATCTCACACCCCAGAGGAGATATTACCCTGCCAACGAGCGTGTAATGCAGACTGTTCAATGGGATCCCTTCCTAGGTTGTTTGGCTCAACATAACGAATTCCACAGCCAGGTAGCTGCGATATTTGGTCAACACCATCGGATGAGAATATTCAATGCGGCTTCACCGGGGACGGAGCCATCGCTACCTGCATTGAATGCAGACCTCCTGCAGCGGGATCGCATTCGCTCCTCAATCTTCCGGATCTCTGGTTTCGGCGCTGAGGACCACACGAATGCGGAGGACCGTCTGTATGAAGAACTGGGCCGGAAATACCAGTCAGAACGCTGTTCCCGCGTATTCACTCTCTGCAGAATTCTCTACGAAGATATTCCCTCTGCCGAGGACGACACGCTTGACTCCTTGGCTGCACGTCTTTGGAGGTTTATTACGCAGTCCAGCACAGTGCACGGAGTCAGTTCTTCGATCGACGCAACGCGGATCAAGTACGATGCGATGTGGCTCACGGAGACCGGCGAGTTTGTTTCCCGTCAGTGGTGCAGTATCCATCGGCTTCTCTGCTCGGAGACGGGTCGCCCAAACAGGTATGCGGTAATGCTGTGGTTGTCGACGTTGGCATTCTCCAGGAAGATAGACATGATTGTCTTGCACGTTCTTGCTGCGTTGTACATTGTACCCGGTATGGCCTCGATGACCTTACCAGCACAGGGTTTCTACCGGCCACAAGAAGGTTTCGAATTGAACATCGCCGAATTGAAGACTCGGATCCATTCAGCAAGCCGGAGCGTGACTCCCGAAGATGGCCTCTCTCCCAGACCAGCGGAATCGTATAGCACATTTCATGCGCGCGTGGCGAAGCTGAGAAAGACCAGGCGGAAACAGGCACTCAGTCATTTCATAACCGGCCTAGAGAGACAGTGGCCGACCCGATGTCCCTCACATCCCCTATCTGATGAACAGCCGCCATTTGCAGATTATTTTGACACACAAAAAGCGATGAAAGTGTCAAAGGCAGCAATGTCAACTTGGTTCGATAACCGAGAGCTGAGGCAGTACCTTGATAGGATTGCAGCCGTTTACACCGCCCAAAACATCCAACGCATCACAATCCCACCATGTCTCTGCCGGTGCTGGGAACGCCCCCCAGACCGACGGCGTGCTTTCATCTCCGTGGATGACATAGTGGACGGGTCTCTTGGTCCACCACCGGCGGTGGAAATGGAACCGCCCTCTCTACCACCTTGGTTGGGCAGTGGCACTACTCCTGACCAAAATCTACATCTCTCAAGCTTGGTCGATGCCCTAGGATCACAAGCGCGATCTCAATTCCAAAAGCAGTATATTGAGAGACTGCGGGCCAGTATGGCATCCCTGCAGGGTATCCAGCATATGGATCACCGCTTGCCCGATGACGACGTCCTTGAGACCGTCATATCCGATCATTTCCATCGCTGTCAAGAGCACCATGAGAAGATCAGCCGTGCAATCATGTCGAGGATGATGCTTTCCGATACGATGACAGGAGAGATCCATCCCGGATCACACACGAAGCGCAACATCCTGGGAACATTTGCCAATATCCACGTCTGGCCGAGGGTATCATCATCACAGCTTCTTCTCCATCAGCTAACACGCAAACGCTGGAATCACCTGCCTGAGCCCTGGAAGGAATGCTTGGTCGCGTATGGATGTTCCATCACGGCCCTCCAGCGGGCGAAGAGGCTCGTCAACGTGATGGGTCATCGCATGGATCTAGCCCGCGAACTGCAGAACCCCGGTCACACGAACTGGAACCCAATGGATTTCCCCGAGTCATTGCTGCTGGAGATCGAGAGTGGGGTGTTGATCCGGGACGTCCAGGAACAGATCGCGCGACGCATGCGAAATGCGCAGCCCGGACAGAATGTCGTCATGCAACTGAATATGGGCGAGGGCAAGTCTTCCATCATCATCCCCATCGTGGCAGCCGCTCTCGCAGACCGTTCATGCCTAGTTCGCATCATTGTCCCTAAGCCCCAGTCGCGGCAGATGTTTCAGATGCTCGTTTCAAAGTTGGGGGGCCTTTTAGGGCGGCGGGTGTATCATCTCCCCGTGTCACGCTCGTTGCGGATCGGGGAACCGGAGGCGGAAGAGATCAAATGGATGTGCCACGACTGCATGGCGGAGGGCGGAGTGCTCCTCGTTCAGCCCGAGCACCTCTTATCCCTGAAGCTGATGTGTCTCGAGTGCTTCATCACAGGGAAAGAGGCGGTTGGTGTATGTCTTCTGAGAATCCTGGATTTCTTCAGGACCTCCTCGCGAGACGTGGTGGATGAAAGCGATGAGAACTTCAGTGTGAAGTTCGAGCTGATCTACACGATGGGGACCCAGCGTCCGTTGGAGCTTAGTCCCCAGAGGTGGACTTTAATCCAAGAGATGCTCGGCCTGGTGAGGCAGTATGCTCACGCTATCAAGATGCAGTTCCCGCGGTCTATTGAGGTGGAGGAGCCGCATCCAGGCAGTTTCCCCAGGATACGCTTGCTCCGAGCGGATGCCATACATCAGCTGTTTGAACGAATTGCGGATCATATCTTCCACAACGGCATTGACAAACTGCCGATCTCAAGGCAGCCAGAAGCACAACGACGCGCGGCTATCGCTTATTGCCTTAACCCTGACCCGTCAAAACCGGAGATTGCTGCAGTGGAAAACCCAGATGCGTCTGGCTTAGGGGCCGGCAGCACGAGGGATCCTCTCCTACTACTCCGGGGTCTGCTGGCTGGCAACGTTCTGGCATTCTGCCTGGGACAAAGACGCTGGAGAGTCAACTACGGACTTGATCGCTCCCGGCAACCCCCTACAAGGCTGGCGGTTCCGTATCGTGCCAAGGATAATCCGGCACCACGGGCGGAATTCAGTCACCCCGATGCTGTCATTGTGCTGACGTGCCTGAGCTATTACTATGAGGGACTCGGCGACGAGGACCTGTTTCGAGCATTCGACCATCTGGTCGGCTCGGATCAAGCTGGCGCGGAGTATCAGATATGGGTCGATGATGCCCCGACTCTCCCCCCGGCTTATCGTCAATTAGTGGGCGTCAATCTCCAGGACCGGCTCCATTGCATGGAATGCATTTTCCCCTGTCTTCGGTTCGCGAAGGGAGCCATCGATTACTTCCTGGCTCATATGATTTTCGCCAAAGGCCTAAGAGAGTTTCCGAGTAAATTATCTTCTTCTGGATGGGATATCGGTGAGGTCAAGTGCCATCCCACCGTCGGCTTTAGCGGGACCAACGATTCCCGGGTTACCCTTCCACTCAGTGTGGAGCAGCTGGATCTACCTGACCAGAACCACACCAATGCGTTAGTTCTCGAATATCTCCTTCGACCAGAGACTGGCATTGCCCTGATTCCGACCCGAGATGACCTGTCCAAGTCCGATGCGCAGGTCCTTCTAGATATGGTGGCGGAACTGAGTTCACCCGTACGCGTGATTCTGGACGTGGGAGCTCGGATATTAGAGTTGAGTAACCTGGATGTTGCGAAGACCTGGTTAAAGATGGTCCGCGATGATGGTCGAACGCAGGCTGTGGTCTTTATCAACGACGACGACGATATTGCTGTGGTAGATCGGACCGGACTCGTCGAACTGCTGCAGACATCACCTTTCCAACGACACCTCGATCAATGCCTTGTGTTCCTTGACGAAGCACACACGAGAGGGATTGATCTGCAGCTACCCCTGAATTACCGGGCGGCGGTGACGCTGGGACCGAATATCACGAAAGACAAGCTGGTTCAAGGTGAGGGAGCCCCGCTGGAACGGTCAAATGCACGTCTCACTAACAGCTATTCACAGCCTGCATGAGGATGAGGAAGTTAGGCAAAGGACAATCAGTCGTTTTTTGCATACCGGAAGAGATCAAGTTCAAGATTCTGACTCTCTGTGGGAGGACCCACGAATCTGATCTTACCGTAGCAGACGTGCTCCGCTGGGCAATCTCGGAAACCTGGGACGATATGCAACGCAGCATACCTTTGTGGGCCGTGCAGGGAAAGCGATATCAGGCCCAGGCCCGTCAGTGGCGGGTGTTGCGACAGGACGGGCAAACCTCGATATCAACATCTCAGGCAGAGGATTTTCTGGAACCGGAATCCCAGTCGCTTGAACAGCGGTATAGTCCCGGTGGTAATCATGGCCTTTCTCTTTCCTCCCAATGCCCGGACGATGCGGACGCGCGGCGCATACTGGACCGATGCCGGGAGTTTGCAACTGTGAAGCTCTCGGCAGCGCAACTCCAGGAAGAGCAGGAGCGAGAGCTAGCCCCAGAGATTGAGCAGGAACGACAAGCTCAACGTCCGGCTCCTGCCGAACCGGAACCGCATTCTGTGCATCCTGATATACTCTCGTTCGTGACCACTGGATACCTGGATGCATCATCCGACGCCGTGAAACCAGCGTTTATGGTGTTGAAAGATACATCGGCGGCGAGATACCTGGATGTGGCCCAGTTCCCATCGGAGCTCCTTGTCACCGTTGATTTTGCGAGAACAGTCCGACTGCCTAGATTATCTGCCCGGGATAGTTATCAGCGTGCGGTGGAATGGGTCCTGATGAGCACCGGCCATCCCTCCGAGGACGGAACGCCCGTAGGGCACATGGTGATCATCAGCCCGTATGAAGCGGACAAGCTTCATGCTGACATTCGCGGCTCTAGCGCAGTAACGCTGCATGTATACGCACCTCGGCAGAACCAGAGTTCGTATCCTATCGATAAGCTCGATCTGTACACGATATCGAAAAATTTAAGCACAAGGCCCCTGCGAGTCCCTGAGAGCCTACGCATTCAACTGAACCTCTTTGCGGGCCAGCTCTATATTTCGTCGTACAACGAGTATTGTGAGATATGCCGCTTTCTAGGAGTTGCATTTACTGCCGCACCAGAGGGCTTGGTTGTCGCCGCGGATGGGTTCATCGTGGAGAATCAACAGGCAGGAGCCAAATTCACCCAAAGCCCCCTCAGGTTTCTCAAGGTGTTCTTGTCACAGATACGGAAGGACGGGCAGGAAATTGACAAGACCCACCTTGGGAAGATCCTAGACGGAAAACTGTTACTCATGGCGGACTTCCAAGATTTCAATGGAAGAGCTCGGACCATGCAGCTGAGCCTTCGAAATGCCCGATGAGATGTCTCGAGCGAACAGCATGATGGGACGGTAGGGAATGCGTTTTGATATACTAGTTATAATTTTAATGAAAATTATTAAGTCTGGTATTATTTAAGCATGATAATTTTTATTAGTTTAGTTATTATATTATAAACCAGGTTTATTAGACTAGTAGTAATTCTTATAATAGTTATAGAATTTTTATTAATATTTCTTGATATATTTAAAGCCTTATAATAGATTTTATAATGATAATTTAAATTTTATATACTTTTTTAATATTCTGAATATTATATTTAATAAAATAACAGTTTAGTAGCTGGATCAAGAATACAAGTTAGATTATAAAATAGTTTTTAGTTACTATTAGTTTAATCATAATAATAGATTAGTTTCTCCTATGCCTCCTTAATAATAGAGGTTAAATCTAGATATTTATAATTTTATTTATAGTTTTTTTATTATTTCTACTTGTGTTCTTGTTCTTCTAGATAGATAAAGAAAATATTATTTATATAAATATACTGCTACTTGTTTTATTATCTATTTTTTAAAAAGAGGATTTAATATTATAAGAATACTGCCACCCGCTCTATTATTTATTTTCTGAAAAAAAATTTAAATATTATAAGAATATTATTACCTGCTCTATTATCTTTTTCCTGAAAAGGAATTCTAGTACTGTAAAAATATTATAATTTACTTTATCATTTATTTTTGAGAAGAAATTCTAGTATTATAAGAATACTGTTACCTGTTCCACTATCTATTCTCTAAAAAAAAAATCTAAATATTATAAAAATATTACTACCTGTTTTATTATTTGTTTTCTACAGAAATTACAGAAGTTCAAATATAATTATAAGATTAATTTATCTTTTTTACTTTTTTTTATAATCTCTTTCTTTTTCTACTTTACCAGCTGCACGGAGGGATAAGAAAATAAGATATATTAAGAAAAATAATAATATAATTATATATAATACCTGCTTATTTTCTACTTTTTATTTTATTATTTATTTTCTATAATAATTACAGAAGTAAGAAGAGAGCTTTTATTATTATAAATATATTATTATCTATCTTATTTTCTATTGGCTTAGCAGGATTACAGAAACTAAAATATAATACTAAAATTATTTTTCTTTTCTTTTTTTTTATAATCATTTTTTTATTTTACTAGCTGCACGGAGGGGTGAGAGGATAAGATATACTAAGAAAAATAATCTTATAAATAAATATAATACTAGTTTATTTACTAATTTATATTATATTTCTGCAGAAAAAATACCATCTATATATAAAGACTATAATAAAATTATTAATTATAATATTACTTTTTTTTATTATCTGCTGGCTTGGCAAGATTATACAGATTTAAATATATTAATAAAGTATTATTTTTTAATTATTTTATTTTATTCTAATAATATTATTATTATTTTTATAATTTACTGCCTAGCACATAACCTTTACTTTTTTATAAATAACTGTAGGTATATATACAGACTATTATATATTAATATTTTTATAGAAAGAAATATTTCTTGAAAGTATATAATCTAGATAAAGTAAATAATATATAATATTAAATAAAGAATATATATAATTTGAGTTTTCTAGACTATAGAATGTATAGAATTCTTAGAATCTACAAGAAGAATATTAATATATTACTTTGTATAATACTTATTGGAGTAATATTTATTATTATTATATTGTGATAGAATAATCGAGCTATCGGGGTAAAAGTCATCGGGATGACGTACTAAAGTGGTTATGCGAGTCGTGAGGTCATCGATAGAGGTTCTACACCTCCCCGACACCTATAAGGTGTCAATTCCTTGTAAGGAGCTACTGATCCCTCAAGGATCAGTCTATCTCGTGGATATAGGCTACCTTTGTCATTACCAATATAGAGTGTTTAGTGGCCGATTCCTTACCTAGTCGACAGGCTTCCTACCCTGACAAGTAGATCCTATCACAAATATTTATTTTCATAATATTTAATAGACTTAATTAGGCTTAGAATCTATAAAAAAGAATATTAATCTGACTTAAATCTTTGTTACATATGCTAACCCAATTGAATTTCTATTATATATACTAACCCGATCAAATTTCTGCTATATGTACTAACTATATTTAGAAAATATTACTACTCTTTTTGAATACTTATAACTTTATAGAATAATTAATTGAAGAAATAAAAACTATATTATTATATTTCTTGTGAAAAGCTCTATCGAATGATACTACTTATGAACTTATCGGACATTATTTGACTGTTGTCCCGTTGAGAATATTTCCCTACTAGATTATAGAGTAACCAGAGAACATAGGCATACTGCAAATATGAGGATGAAGTTGCCGGCTTCGCGTAAGATTTGGTTTTTGTCCGGCTTATGCCTCCTCAAGCCGCAGGTACTGACGTTTTCGTATCTCCACTCTAATGGATATCTCGGTTAAGAGGACCGTGCTCGATTGCATATTCCCATAACCGGACGATGGAAACCATGCCGCTGATATTCGTCCATACTGCCCGACTAGCCGGGAACGACTGACCAAGTCTCCCCAGTAAATATAAGTCCTCCATCCAACCTCAACTGTTCCGGGTCAAGATACACGCTCATGCCAATGTTATCCCCACATATACCAAACACGCGTAGAATCATGTATACCTCTGAATGGTCGCTCCTGTTGTGCACTGCCCGCATCTGGGTTTAGTTAGCGGGTATATGTTGCCGATGGTTGTCAACACACTCACTCTTTCATATTGATACTTGCTCATGTAGAAAGGTGTTCTCAAAGGCCCTGTGGTCGTTTTGACTTCAATGTAATATTTCGGATGCTTGTCCCTCCATTCTTCAGCGTCAAAATATCCGTGATCAATGAGCAGGGCCGTGAAAATGCCCTCGGTATCGTCATATGCAATGTCTGCTGTCTCTCCCCCATACCAAGGTTTCATGTTGGCATAGTCCGGGTGGATTGTGACATATCTACGAATTGTACTCTGCCAATTCACGTCACTCCAGTCTGTTAGAGCTGGGTCCAGCCGTGTAAGTAATTCGAAAACCTGCGAGAATATTAGTCACACTTTAAACCTTTACCCAAAAGAAGATAGCGGAAATGCAACGTACATATAACTCTCCTGCGGCGCCAATCTTCTTGTCTCTTTCGTGCTGGTTGTCTGGGCGGAACACATTCCTTATATCAATGCCATCGAAGTCATCGAATCGATGGCAGATTTCTTCTCCCGACAGCGCTTCATTCAGTTCGCTCATGTTGAGCGGTCCACTCGAGGGAAATGTGGCTCGTCTCGCAGCCAAAAGCACCCGAGTGAGGAGCGTTCGGTACTGCATATTTTCCTGCGCTGTATGGTCATGTAGCGAGTACAGCAGCGGTGGACGGTTGCGATTGGAGTTGGGCGAATGGTAGGCCATCGCAGTTTGTCGAAAAATCACTTGCTCGGAGGAAGCGCCTGAGGGTCGGCGATTCAGATGGGGAGACAGGGTGATAATATCCGGTGAGATTAGTGGAACCTCAGCGGCAGATCGATCCTGACTTCGTGACCGTTGAGGTGTTATTTGATCATCAATGCTATCAACGTCAATGCCAGGGTCTTCGTTGGGCACGTCAATCTCGATGATACCCTGGCGCTCCAAAATAAGGTCGATAGCGGAAGGATCGATACTCAAAACCATGGAAATTACAGTTACTGCATTGCTTTCGATGTTGTCAGGAATTTGAGTGGCCGGATCCCGCATGAGCCAATCGAGCAGGTGCTTAGGCAAAAGGTCACAGAAGCAAAGTTCTTGGGCCTTTTTGTCTTTCGGCACATAAACAACGAGACCAGATGGCTCTTCACTGATGTGCAATTTTCCAATCAATTCTTCAACATCCGCCACGACGCCATCTTGGGAGATTCTCAGAATTGAAAAAACTCCATCCGTGGCTTCAATCCTGGCCGTCCGAAGCAACTCGTACAGCCCCGATGGATTCGTACAATACCTCGGGCTATTGAATGTGGCCGCGACTCTGGCATATAGAAGGGACATGAGCAATCTAATCAAAACTTAGAATTTTGGTCAACTCACCGGAGGATTGCATGAGCCTTTCTTCTCAAGTCCCGGTGGGGCGCTGAAATTAGTTGCGTTGCCTCGCCAGAGAAGGAAGTCAACTCCTTGATGGATGCAGATAAGTAGCGATGTGTGAGATTTGTCCACTCAAAAAAACCTTTCAGACGACGCACTTCTTCGAGACTGAAGTCAAGAATCTTGATCCTGCCTCTAAATTGTGATGCCAGGTGTTCCCGGTCAGGAATCGCGAACTCCGTAGCAGCAGACGTGAGTCCTTTCGTTCCATCTGGATAAACGACAGGAAACACCGATCTTTCCAGCAGTAAATCTGGGTCAACATAATCTCCGTCTGTTAGAAGGAGAGCATTGAGAGACCAGATCTTACTTTTCGTCTCGTCGATTGCTGACTCCGAGCTTGTTTCTAACAGCTCATCATATACCATCCGAAGGGTGAGTGTGTTGACCCCTAAAGTATCGATAAAGAAATCTTTCAAGTCCTCGTAATGGTCATTCAGGGTGACCTTCCCACGTATATCTGTAGTACTTGACCACAAACACTCGGAGATTTTGTACCAACCGGGTTCGCCGTTTGTGATCACAAAAATCAGGCTTTCATCCTCAAATTCGCGCCTAAAAATAGAAGTTTAGTTCTTTGATGCAGTCCCAACTAAGAAAAAGGACGTTGATACTTGCCGCAAATCATCAATAGAGAAAATTTCCATTTCAGATAGGTACTTGTACATATGGAAGATTTGGTCGAAGTCCACGCAGTGGTTCTGGCTCCGCTCTACCAGTTCCCCTGTCAGATCTGACCATGAGGCATCTGGAATGCTCAATATATGCCTGAAGAATTGTGAAAGATGTTCGAGTTGACCTTCTCCGACAACTTGCTCGAAGACGTATTTGAGAGAATACTTGGAAATCATATTTGGTGGTGCGTCCCATAGGCATTGCTCAAGACCGGCCCATGCTGCATCGTAAGGATCATCCTCTTGGAGTTCAGGAACGAAAATGTAGTCACCGTCTGAAAAAAATAACCTCGAGTTGAAGGTTAGCAGACAGTTTTGGGTATTCGCAGGCGTTGGGCTTACTTAATTTTGTCTCCAGCGACCACTCTGTCCTCGGCAGCAAGATGCTTTGCGCCAATTGCAATATACAAATCCCATACTCGCTCATACGAGGTAAGTGCGGATTCATCAGGGTTGGCGCTCTGGATCCAATACAGCACATTAAGCAGAAAACCCATGTCGTCGTCCTTTCCGACTGAGAAATCGTTGTGAAGAAAAATCCACTTGGAGTAGAGTTCCTCATCTGGAAGTTCTTCAAGGTATAGGAACGGGAAAGGTTCATCTTCCTCCATAAAACGATGACAAAGCGCCCGAAGGTTGGATAGAGGCAAATATGTTTCGTCAAGCTGACAGTCATCAGGCAGGTCCATGTTGCAAAGCCTTCTTGCATTCATGCTTTGGATTTCCATGATGAGATCAGCATTTTGGCGCAGTTCGGAGCTTTGATATTTCCAGAGGTACTGCAACAGTCCCAGAAGCTTTCCCGGGCAAGTTTCCGCGATATAGGTCCAGCTGTCTGAAAGAGAATCACCATCGGATGAAACAAGACTTAGTCGTTCGCGAATTCCAAGTGAAGTGACTAACCATGCTCGCCACGATGGGTAGTCTGAATGAGGCCTTGATGGAATGCTCTCAAAATATGTTGAATCCATGAGCAATACTTCCATGCCCTGGGAGTACTCCGTTGGCCCTAGGAGGGCCTTTGGTCCATATGGATGGCTGTGCGGGAGGTAGATCTCTTCTTCGTGTGGATTATTCATAGTACCATGATCGCAGTAAACACAAACATTGCAGAAATCTTCTTCAATCTGACGACGATCGTGTGTCAGATACAAGTAACGCAGATGAACTCTCGAATCTTCGATGCAAACCCCGTTGCACAAGGGTCTATAATTCGCCAGTATTGCAGATCGAACTGCACTAACCGACAGCTCCACGGCTCCCAAATGTATGAAAAGCGCTCTGCGGTCTTCATTGGCAACCGCTGCTGGATCCAAGATGCGAAGATCGACGTCAGCCGGGATGTCTATTTCACCAGTCTTTGGTAAGTATACCGGACCGCTGTTAATAGGCACCCATTCGCCATTTCGTAGAGGAAGAATAGCAAGCTCATTGAGAGTACGCATTCCATCTTCGTCCTCGTTTGCAATCGTCGACAAAACTTGTGAAATGCGGGAGTGGAAGTCTGCGCTGGTAACATGTGACTTGACTCTGGAGGTAGAACTTTCAAGATCACTTTTCAACATTCTGAGGATTAGGTTAAAAGACCCCACGCCGAGTCCGTACTC